ATGGGCCTGATCAGACACCTTTGTTGTGCTTAGTATTTTTAGGTGCTTGCAGTGCTGTCAGCTGGATTGTTCCTCACGGGGATGGTGTGTGTGAGGGTTTGCTTCCCCAGCTCAGTCCTGCCCTGCTGTCCTCTCCTTCTACCTCTCCTGCATTTCAAGGGTCTTCCTCACCTTCCTTCTCTCATCTGGGAGAGTCTTCTCTAAGCTCTTCTTATCTCTCTCTGAGTAATTTCAACAACAGGCATTAATTCAGTCATATCCTTCCTATAGCAGATTAACAGATCCACCTCTTGTCTGTAGTACTTACATTTCCTTTGGCCAGGCTAAATTTTGGTCTGGATTTTTTTGCCTCTGGATTTTTTTTTTTTTAAATAGTGGAAACAATTCAGGTTTATTATAACTGAAGCAGAGGTCTTATTATCCTGTTACTCCTCAGCTCTTTTATCTGCTTTTCTCAATCTTTATAAAGGTTGCCTCACTTATGACTCTTACTGATGCTCAGCCTCAGCATTGCCTTCTGAGCTTTTGTAAAGCCTCACATCCAGGTTGTAACCAGGGCCTTGTAAGTCGACCATGTTCAGCCATGTGGCTAAAATAGCCCCACTCTCAGGTAATTGCTTGTTTCTCCTGCAGAGGTTTTTGTCTCTGCACGAGGAGTGACTGTTGAACAGGACACATCTCTGCTCCTCAGTGACATCACTGCAAGTGATAACAAATGCACATCCCAGCCAGTCTGTCTTTCAGCCAATCTGCCTAAATTCCCTCCCTCTTCATCTTTCTTTTCCTTTTCCTTCCCACAATCCTGGAAGTCTTCTCTTCTGCCATTGACAAACTGTCATGCTTGTATTTATTCCAGATTTCAGCTGTTGGGCCTGTTTTTCTGTCCTCTGTTTTTACTGTCATTTTTTTTATCTCATTAATTTTATTTTTCTTAATGAAATTAAATTTCAGCTTCTTCAGTTAGAGGGCTCCTCACAAATTAACCACTCCCTTCCCAGCACTCATCAGTCAGGTTTGAGAGCTGGATCCATTGCAAATCATCCTGCAATCAACTCCAGCTTTTTATGCTAGGTGAGGGGTGTGTGTGTGTGGTGGTGGTGGTGTGTGTGAGGGGCTAATCACAGGTGCCTATAAAACTACCCTTGTCTGTCAGATCCGTTACTTTAGAGATAGCTTTGCATTTCAGTCATTAAAAAAAGGGAAAGGGACTGGTATTATCTCCTTTCATGTGCCTGTGGTCTGTCTGCACCTGCCTCTTGTCTCGTAGTTTGCAATTTAAATGGAAAATCTTACACTATGTGCAAACCTACTCTCTTGATACATCTTTTCACTGCTAAAATAGCACAGATGAAAATAAGTTATGTTTTGGCTTTGACTTCTTTTGGAGTCTTGGATGGGAGTGCTAGATCTGACCTGCTGGCTGAGATCCACCTTGTATAGATACTTCCTTAATTCACTAGAGTTTAACCCAAGATGCTCCACAATTTGGATTAATGCTCTTGAATTAACCCTTTTAATTTCTATCTAATGCCCCAACACCTGCAAGGCTACAGTTTGTGAAAGAAAGCTTTGCTTTTGATTCTTAGTTATCTTGCAATACAGAGATGGGTACTCGACTGTGGGGACAGCAATCTGACAGGGTCGTTGTCATCATAACAGGCACAGGGAGAGTTGGATATAGGCTGGAGATACGTTATTACTTACTCCTTCAAGAACAGCAAACATGTTTATAAAGGCAGTGAAAATTTGCATTAGTTTATGGTTCTCTTTCTTCTGTGCACATGCCCTGGGTCAGGCTGCATGTGAGAAAACAAGATTTGCAACCCCTTTCCAGTTTCCACTGGTGTTAAGCTAATGCTTATTTTTAGTAAACTGTATCTCAGAGTGTGCTTTTAAGAATCCTTTTGCAAAACCTAGCACAACAATTTCGTTATCTTTTCTCCTTTTGAATTTTCTTAACAAATATAAAGGATCAGTGTAACTAGTTACACTGTATTTCACTGATAATTTTCAGAAGTCTGGGTCCAGCTCAAGAAGCAGTAAGGATTACAAGCATTCTTCTCAGTTGATTTTTTTTCTCTCTGTGCTGCTAGTAATTATCCAGCTTTGGAAGGTCTGTGTGGGTACTCTTTCAGGGCCAGGCCTTTTCTGCTGCACCATCCATGCATCCCCTGGGACAGGGTGTCCCTTGCATTCCCCACACTCACATATAGTGTGAAATCCTTCCCCTTAAATGCTTAAACAGTAAGGCTACCTGTCAGATAAAGCCCTGTCTGCCAGCCTTATTTGATCATGGAATAATTTTGAAACTCTCTTTTCCATTCATAGTGTGGTGTTTGCCCTGTCCACTCTTTTCACTGCTGATTGCCTGCAGCACAGGTACCTCTGTCACCACCCCAGACCTCTCCTCTCCTCCCCAGGCAGACAAGGATATGTCCTTCCTATCAGCTGCTGTTTGTCAGTCTTAGGGCTCTACCTTAAAGCCTTCTTTTCTGTTTCTTTCAATTCAGAATGCTACTTATTTCACATGCTGTAAGAAGTTTATCTTAAATACCTTGCAGTTCGTTTTCAGTCTGAAATTATTTTTTACGGTATTCTGATAGGTGCCTATCAAGATATTTTCAACTGGCAAAAATGTATTTTAAAAAAATTAAATCCAGTCATTTCTTGCAGCATTTAAGAAATCCCAAGCCTTTAAGATTGTACCTAATGTTTGCAGAGCATGAGCACTTCTGGTGAAAACCCCTGACAGGCTTTGAAATGCATTTTTCTAAGCTGTGAATTTCCATTGCTGCCTTGTATATTGTGTGTTGTTTATAGGATGTTGTTCAGGCCTTGGGATCCAGGAGACTAAGAGGGAGGGAGATGCACATGGAGGGATAATTGTGCCACTTTTGGGACACTGCTTTCTCAAACAGGGCTCCAGAAAAGATGCACTTAGGAGTGGGACAGAGAGGTTCAACTGCTTAACATTACTGGGTGGTAGTAAAAAAAGTACTTGGTTTGCAAAAAAGCTAGTGGTACTGGAAATGATTCAACCTCCTGTTCTTGGAGGCATAAGACAGCCTCAAATTAAACACATCTTAGGCAGTAACCTAAGAAGATTCTATCTGTGAGGCTGCTGCAGCTTGTATTATCTTCTGACCACCTAGTCTGGTCTGCGGGGAAAGTCAGGGTGCGCCGTCCCAGGTCAGCAGTGACCTTTCCAAAGGGAAAAGGTCAGGCTCATATGAGCTGCTGCATCCCGACCTTCCCCTTGTCAAGCTCCCGTTTCATGCAGGCTGTTCCTTCTAAAGGTTTCCCTTTGTGACCTGCCTGCTCAGGTTAACCTCTACTTTTTCTTGGTTCTCTGCACCTTATTTCTCCTCCATGTGTGAGGAACAGGAGAAGGAAGTCGACATATTCCACATCATTTTTAGCATCAAATAACTCCCATTTGGTTCACCTCTCCCACAAAGCATTAATGAAAGTGTTTAAAGGTAACAGCCCTGCTGTATGACCTCCCTGCTCTGCTTTTAAAGTCCAGAACTGTTGCTGAAAATGGGAGAAAAAAGAAACAAACAAGGATACAAGAGGAGAAGGCCAGAGTGACAGATGCTGAAGTTGAGTTATAATTTTCTCATCATAAACCAACATTTTAGGTTCTGCTGGTAGTTATTCACACTCACTCTGATGATGTGCCATTACAATTTTGTGTAGCTACAAGCTAAGACCACCCAAAAGGCTTGGAGGAAGAGGGTCCAGGCTTTTGTAAGCATTATGTTATAGAAGGTATAGAAAGACATAACAGTGAGCAATTAATTTGGGTGAAGAATTTACATAATTAGTTTCTATCATTTGTGTGTTCGAAGGATGGTGTTTAATCATGCATCTTTACAGCACAAACTGGCACATTGTTAAGGTCATATTTGCTTTAGTTGCATCATTGAGTCTATCACAGAGTAGTCCTTTATTCTGTTGGTACTCTGTTTCCAAATCTAGGAGTATTTCCTCCTAAACATATGTGCATAATGTAGTGTGTGTGTGCACACAAGGAAAAGGAAGCAGATGACTTGTGTTCAGCATAATGGTTGTTTTGGGCTGGAACTGCTGCAGGCTCCCTGTTGAAAAGAAATGTGTGTGCCCATTTGTTCATTAACAAAGCCGCTGTCGTAGCTGTGTTGATTGTGCAGACCACCCTACAGTCTTTGTGCAGGGTCTTGGTTAGAGAAAGATGTAATCTCCCTTCTTCATAGCCTCTCTCCCTATTTGCTTTCCTCACTGTAATCATAGTGTGCTGATCAATGCCTTCATGACAAGTGGAATCTCAGCTGAGGTTCCCGTCAGTGGAGGAGAGAGGAGAATGGATGGGGGTTGATGGAGAAGTCCAGGTGGGTTACTGCTGAGTAGAGCTTGAGTATAAATTAGCAGTGTGTGTGTTGGAACTGGCACTTAGCGTGGGAGGATAGGGCAGTGTCTGGAGTCACATGGAGGGAAAGATCACTGGCTGTTGCAAAGGAGGTGTGAGAGAAATTATCAAGTTGTGTAGGATCCCTCTGGAAGTGGAAGATTGTTCCTTAAGTGTGACAGCTTTGATACAGCAACTTCACGTGTGCTTTGCTCTAGTTTTGGAACCAATTCTTTTGTTCTTTCCTGGTCTGTGACCTCAAGACGGCCTGTGATTTCAGTGTCTTGCTCTGTACTATCAGATTGTCCAGATGGAAGTCTTCAATATCCTTGTAGTCTTTTATTGCTCAAGATACTCTAGAAACCCTCAGTGATTTACAGAGTAAGGATTTGGCTAGCTTTTTAGCTTTGATCTATAATTTCTCTCTGAAGTATCTCTGCTTTTTTTTTTTTTTTTTTTTTTTTTTTTTTTTTTTTTTTTTTTTTTTTTTTTTTTTTTTTTTTTTTTTTTTTTTTTTTTTTTTTTTTTTTTTTTTTTTTTTTTTTTTGGCATTGCAAATTGCCGTGTTACTTGTAGCAGATTTGAAACCCTTTTTTCCTCATTCTGCTTTCAGATTCCATTGGTGGGTCGTTTTCAACTTCCTCCCACAGATGCCACCACAAGCAGAAGCACTGTCTCCCCATCTCACAGTGTGGAACTCTGTCCATCAGCCCTCTGCTTTTCCATCCTCACACGAAGGGATCCCAGATCATCATGGACACAACACAGAAGGCGGTGAAGCGCCAGGCTAGCTTCTGCAATGCCATTACCTTCAGCAACAGGCCCATTGTTATTTATGAACAAGTCAGGCTTAAGGTGAGTAAATTATACCTTCCCTTTTTGCTGTGGGAGTTGCTGTGAAGAACGCTGGGGTGTACCAGGATTTGGTGCTTGCAGCGAATCTCTAGCCCTTCCTTGAAAAGCACAGTAATCAGATCTTGGCCTTAAAGATCTGTGATCTTCATTGGTACTTCTGCTTTTGTCACTGCAGTTCTTGGAGCCTTAGGTACAGACTGCTGTAGAAACTGGCAACAAAAGGGAAATCTGTGTTCCAAAGACACTTGTCTTGATGTTAGACAAGAATGAGAGATTGAATTGAGATGATTGCTTGGAAAAAGCAAGAAAAAAGGGCTTTATTGATTAGTTAGAAAGGCAGCAGCCTCAATATCTCCCTAGCCGACATGTCCTCTAGGCTTTGCTCCCTTCCCGCAGAAGAATTTTACTGGCAGGCTGAAAGAGGTTGAGTAGTTAGTGAAGGCATTCCATTCCCCAAAGAGCACTTTTGTTCCTGTAAACAAAGCAGCAATGAGGGCTAGTCTCGTGGAGGTGAGAGTCAGCCTCTTCTCAGCCAAGATATGAAAAGGACCTGGAAGTGAAGGTGCTTGCTTGTGCACTTGGCCGGGAAAACAGAAGGGTTTGGATGAAAGGATGAAAGGAGCAGTGAATGCAGTCACTGTTGCTGTCTGCTGACTGCTTTGTTGAATTAGTCACCTGACTGTGGTAGCCCAAAGGATGGAATTCATACTCCTGGTGCTGCAGCTGGCACAGGAAATTCAGCTCCTCTAAGACACCATGCCTCCATGTGCATCAGGAGCTGCTTTCTCATGGAGAAACTCCTCAGTCTCCTTAGGAACTGAAGCACTTTTTAGCCCTTAAGGATCTTGGGACCTCTGAGCTCCATCCACCGATACTTCCCAATCTTTATGTTCTCTAATTTGTGAGACTGCATTTTTCTGTTCTTAGCTGATTTCATGGCTTACATTGGCACAAAGTAGGTCATCTTATTTGGCCACTTTAGTTCATGGCATGCATGAATGATCTAACTGCAAATCCTTCATTTATGCAGGAGTTTTCCGGGAGGTTTTTCATCATACAGCTACCGAGTCTGAATGATTTTGCTGTTGCCCAGTGCTAGAGGTCCCAGAGTGCTAAGAACTACAGCAGCAAGTCAGCCTTCCCTGTCTCTTCCCTTAGAACCAGAAAAGAAGCGAGGAATAAGGAATATGCCTCCTTTTGGAAATCTACAGAGATTTCAATGGTTTCTGGTTCAGGCCCATCGGTAGAAAATCCCTCCTACAGGTTTTTTATGTTTCCTGTGGAGCTCTTCTGCTTCTATCCACAGTGGAAGCCCAGAGGACTCACTCACGTTGCCTAATGAGATTTTTTTTCCATGTTGGCCAGCAGTTTGGACAACCAACTGCAAAAATAATCTGGGAGGAGATGAAAGCATCACTTTGCTTTTGAAGACACCATCAGAGATTTGAGTGGATTTAGTGGTTTAGGCAAAGGTTCTGGGTTATTTATTTCTTCCTCATTCTGAAACAAGGTAGCCATCTCTGGAAATTCACACTTGTTTATGACTGTGTATTTTAGGATTTTAGCTTGCATAACATATGTGAAGAATATGCATGCAAATCTACACAAGAGATTTATAAGCAGAGCTCCCGTTGACTCCAGTGGGAAGGTCTCATGGCAGTAATCAACAGGCTTCAGCAGAACTTGTACTCAAGGGATGGATGAAAATGTGAGAACATCTTTGCTTTTATGATAAGTCCGTCCTGTAATTGCCTCGCTATTGTGTGTGCCTGTGGAAAACAGCATCTTAAATCTTCTTACCAGCTAAACACTATCCATGAACCCAGTCATTTAGATCCTGTAAAGTCTAAACCCTGTTTGGAAAACAGAAGAAAGAAGTAAGGAGATTTCATTCTATTTATTAGGTATTGTATCTCACATTTTGTTCTGAGATTTTTTAGCAGCTTTGGGAATATGGGAATACGGCCGTCAAACAGCCTCAGAGACAGTATGGCTGCTTCTGTGTAATTCAGAGCATTGCTAGGGAGTGGAATGAGGTTCTCAAAGATGGCTCAAGGCAGTACAGATCAGGAGCCTGAATCTGTGGAAGCAGGCATGGCTTAGCAGTTTGGGTGTTGATTCTGTGTTTTCCTCCCTCCTTCCTTCTGGTACCCAGTGGACCTCCCAAGCTTTTCTGCTAGCAGTGGCTGCTGAAGAGAGAATTTGGTCCATCATTAACCATTGCCTTTTTTAGCAAAACTGTGTTTCCTTTGTCCAGCTGTGTCTAATTCTTGGCAGGCTTTATTCTTAATTTGAATTTGGATATTAGTTTGCCTGTGGTCAGACTGTATTAAGAACTGTTTATAGGTGCTGATTAATACATGGAACATGTGCAGCCTCAATTACCATATGAATATTTACTTCATGCAGCCTGTGATTGCTGTGAAATATTGGCAAGAGACTAAATTGTACAAATGACAATGAGGCTGTATTTATCTTAGACCCAAAAGCTTTTAGGGCTTGTGGTAAATTTTCTGCAATAAATAATCCAGGCTTCTTCTTGGAGAGTGTGTATTATGTTTCCCCATTTTGTCACGTGCGTGCCCTGTTCACCCCAATTCTACTTGAGACACTCATGATTCCATTCTACCCTGATCAGGGATAAAAAATAGCAAATCTGCTTCAGTCCTTTTTAGTGTCACCCCAGTGTCCATCCCACAAGCAAGAGCTTTCCATGGTTCCTGGGACAGAGGTCAATACTCAAGTGTTTCATATAAACTGTTTAGGTGCCTGGCTGGACTGAATAGGGATAAAGAGTAGCACTTCCTTAACTGAAAAATTGTGTGTTGATAACTTTTCTTCGGAGCCCTAAGTTATTTTCTCTGATACTTCAATTATAAAACAGAATTCTCTAGGATTTGAACAATGTCTTTGTTGTGAGATAATTGTGCCCCCAAGGGGACACGTTTCAGATTTGCCTTGAAGAGGAACATGTAAAAGAAAAAAACAGTATTTACAAATGTGATTAGAAGAGAATCCAGAAGCCCAAAGAAAATGTCTTGTAGAATCCCTTGGTGAAAAGCCTGTGCTTCCAAGTTGGAACACAGGTGGTTGCTGCCAGGCTTTTTAGGACAAAGTCCTGCAATCCTGGACAGTTCAGTCTCTGGCGTTGCCATTCATCTGAGCCATTACTGTTTGGCAGAGCAAGAAATTACAGAAAGGCAGCAAGTTTTGTGTGACATCTGGTGGGCAGTACCTATCCATGTTTCTGCTCTTGTCCTGCAGCCAACAATGGAATTGCTTGGGGCTACCAAGGCACTGATGGAAGAGGACTGTCTTAAGCACTGCCATGTTTGCTGCAGGTTCAGTGAATGAACAGAGACACCAATTATGTGTCAACTGGCATGCAGGAACTGTCTGGGCTCCACATCAAGGTTGGATCCTGCATCCTTAGGTTCTTTCATTTCCCAGTCTGGATGCTGACAGACTGAATCCCTTTGAGAGGAACAAATCCCAGCAGGTTCATGCTCAAACAATAAAATGAGAGGAAAGAATTCTCCAAGGACATCGTCTCCATCTGGGGACCATACTAACTCTGGAAGATTCCTTGCTTCCATGGGAAAAAGTGACTTTGTAACTGAGTAGTGTTTTGGATGTCCTGCATGTGTTTAGGACCCGCTGCCTGCTCCCCTCAGATTCCCTATAGTCCAGGGCTTAGTTCTTGTGAGAAGAAGCTGATGGCTCCGGAGGCATCTGCAATCCATTGTCCTGCTATCTCTCTGGTGCAGAAGAGTGGATATGAGACGTGAACCATTCCAAAAACTAAAGCAGAGTCTGTTCCTGACCCCAGACACACTGAGTAGTTGCATACTGACAGGTGGAGTGTAGTTGTGCACAACATGTTTTGAAAAACACTGCTCACAGCTGAAATAAATAGGTTTTTCCCAATCATAATGCAACATCTATTTTTGCCTCCTAATTGTGTATTTAATAAAGTTAAATACTTTAAATTGTGCTTTCCCACACACAAGTTCTCTGCTGCAAGGCTGTGATTTCATCCAGTTTGACAAGCAAAACATGGGAAAGACTGTCTATAACTTGTCTAGGAAACCTGGAAAACTGCATGGTGGTAACTGCGATTCTGCGCTTTTCCTTCAGGTCATGAGAGACCCCACCATCTAAGAGCTATATGGGGAGAGCTCTGTGGCTGCAGGTGCTGAGATAAAAGGTCTTAGGGCCATTTTTGGCACATTTTGGGAGAGGATGATTCTTAAGCCAAAAGGAATTACCCTAGAAATAGAAGTGAATCATCATGCAACTGTAATTACATTTCACCTCTCCACATAGATTTATTTTGATTTATTTGGTTTTAAATATGGGCATTGTATCCTAAGTATGCAGCATTGCTGCTTGCAGTTGAAAAAGCTACAGCAGTGTTTGGTGTGTAAAATGTTTCCTAAATCTGGTGGGGTCATCTGCATGCTGGCCACCAGTGTTTGATGCACAGAGCCTGTAGTGTTAAAGTAGATGTTCAAGAGCCAAATGCTGTTATTGCTGCTGTTATCTTTGCAGATCACTAAAAAACAGTGTTGCTGGAGTGGGGCTCTTCGACTTGGCTTTACTTCCAAGGATCCATCGAGGATTAACCCTGAGACTCTGCCGAAGTATGCATGCCCTGACTTGGTTTCCCAAAGTGGGTTTTGGGCCAAGGCTCTGCCAGAAGAGTTTGCAAATGAGGGAAACATCATAGCCTTCTGGGTGGACAAGAAGGGACGGGTTTTCTATCGGGTGAACGACTCCACTGCGATGCTCTTCTTCAGTGGGGTGAGGACGGCAGAGCCCCTCTGGGCTTTGATCGATGTCTATGGACTCACCCGTGGAGTGCAGCTCTTAGGTGAGTACCTGGGTCCAAATGTGCAGGGATGATGCTGAGCCTGACAGGACCTGTCCCCTCGCTGGGCTGGGACAGGTGCAGAGAAGCAGCTGTTGCTCCTCCCCAGAGCATCTCACAACCTCAGCCTGGGTCAGTGGGTATTTGAAACACAGCAGGTAAATATAACACCAGTGGGAGGTGGGAAACAGCTGCTGCAGTGTAGCACTGGAAGCCATCTCTAAGTAAGTGGATTTCTGCTCAGAGGTGTTGCTCTGTCAGAGCTCAGAGCCTGGAGTGTGTCATATACCTTGTAAGACTTTATCTCATTTTCTGCTTTCCCCATGCCAAAGCAGGGAAGTGCATTTTACGTGCTATAGATAAATTCTTCCTGGATGGCACTGTTCCGATTTTCTGGCTGGTTTAATGGACAGATTTGAAACTTGGCTATCTTCCAAATTACCTGAGCAAATCTGTGGCTGGTTTTTCCAAAATACTGCTTTCACAGAGGAGTTTGATTTGTCGGTATGCAGCCTTAGATTCACCAGGAGGCAAATCACAGCACTTCTCCATGTAACAGTAATTTCATGGCTCTTGTTTCCATCATGGAGAAGGTTAGATGGTACCCTGCTGATGTTCACAAGCTGAATTTCCTTCTGAAGTTGAGAGATCTTGGCTATTTCCTGTTGTGCAGCCTGCTAATCTCAGTTAAAGTGACAACTTTATGGTACATATGAAAAACTTTATTGAAACTTCTTTCTGACAGTTCTGCCCCCTTTCTGCATTCTGTGCTGTATTAAAAAAATCTGGTGGCAGGACTGCCTGTAGCTACCTACATGGCAAGGAAGAGGGATGTGGTTTCTGGAGATGAAGAAATGAGACTGACTTTATTGCAAAAACTCCTGGCCCAAGATTGCACAAGGCAGAGGAATTGAAGAATTTCTCACCAGCTTTTTCTTTTCTTAGGTGCAGAAAGATTTATCTTTTGTTGTGAATCAGTTTGAATCAGAGCCACTAAGCAACTATTCATAGGCCAAGGTGGTGATATTTGAATTGGGATGTAGAATTCAGGCAAATGTCACACAAAAGGTTCAGTTAGGAAGAGCTTACAAATGACTACAAGTCCTCCATCTGTTCTTGTGAGATTTGGCACCTCCAGACTGCTCTGCTTGATTAATGAGGGTCCATAACTCTGCATTATGTGTTTCCTTTCAAAACACCCGAGAAATCATTTCCTATCCGTCATCCACCCCTGCGTTGTCCAAGCATCTTCCACATCCCCTTTCACAAGGGAAATGTGACTTTTGCCAGCCTCTGACTTACCTCCAGTCCAAAAGGCTCCTGACTCTGGTGGGCATGAAGTTCCTGAATGAAGCAAGCAGCTTCTGAGTTTACACAGTTGGCGTGGAGCTCAGATACGTGTTTATAGCTTGTTCCAGGAGCCTTCAGCAGGCTTTAAGCCTAGCAACTGCGCTGAAACGTCTTCGACCCCAAGTCCTCTCTATCTCCATTCATTATTAAACAGCACTAAAAGTCAGAGAAGGGAAATTGTTGGCTGTGCTGCCCCTGGATCCTATAGACGTACCCGCTACAACGTTCTGCATGCCTGTTTTAGTGTAGCAGACCACACATATAGCACAAGACAACTTGCCAAAAACGCCTGGGACTTGACAAATGAATTTCATAGCTTAGCTACAAACATATGGTTGAATTCAGCCTGGTATGGCATGCAGGGCATCTGATAGAGGCTGGGGATGCTGGAGTGGTATGTTGAACAGAAAAGCCTAGCATTTCAGATTCCAGTTCAGTGACTTATTGCCCCCTAATCCCAAACATTATCCTTTTTCTTAAACCTCACTATTTTCTAATGCCTGTAGGGTTACAGGGTCATACTGCACCTCTGCACTGCCTCCATTTGCTTTTATGTGTATTTCACCCCAGAGCCTGACCAAAAGCGTTACCATTTCTGGTGTCTGTCTTTCTGTTTATTGCAGAGTTGCTCCCTCCCCACTCCCAGTAATGTAACTTGACTTCCCAAATGAGACTTGCCCAAAGAAAAGACCCGCAGCAGTAAGTCCTGAGTCACTGCAAGATCCCAGCTCTGCAGCGGAGTGGACAGTGTACATTTACGTTCCCAAAAGTGACAACTTCCAAAACTACACATTTTTGTTTTTCTTATCTGCATTACACTGGTAAATCAGTTCCAGCTAAAATGTGGAACCCAATAAAGCAGGGAGATGTCCAAGTCTAGTGACATTGTTCCTGTTTTACAGATTTAATGAAGAGAGACTTGAACAAAGTTGGGGGCAAAGCCTGTGAGAGTTAAAGGATTTGCCAGAGGCTGTACAGCAGTGACACCCGACTCAGGTCTTGTTGCCCAACTCAGCCCTGCCTCTCTATCTGCGTCACAGGCATTGCATAACACTCTGGCATCATTAAAAACCAGCTGGTTTGTACCTTAATTTTTAATTTCCTCCTGCTTATGGCTTTACTCACAGCATCAGCCTTACTGATAATTACCCACATGTCACTAATGCTGTCAGTGCACAGGTGTATATGGCTGTCACAGATGTTCCTGGGTCTGACTGCCCTTGCTGTATGTTCAGAGGCAGAGCCCTTTAGGAACTTCTTTGATGGCTGGATTTTGAAACAAAACAGGTGAAAAGGGCTTGCATGGTCCACTACATCACAGCCAAGGGGAGTTTGAATTGAGTTGGGCCATGGTTTGCCTGTTACTGCCCGAGTGAGTCAAATTGAGGGACTGGCTTAAATCTGCCTTGAGGTGGCTTCAGCGATGAGGTTCACAGTGCTGATGCAGTCCCAGGTGAGAGGCTACTCCTTGCCCTCCTTTAGTCCTGTTATAGAGATGAAAAGGCTTAAATTCACCCAGGAGTCTAGTCTGACCACATAGTCTCACTGGTTTTCTGCTACAGTGTAAGGGCTTGCTTAGAGGAGGCTGTTGCAATGGAGTGCATGCATGTTCTGTGTTTTAGGACATGGGTTTTAGTGTAGATGCAGGTTTACATGACCTATAAACATGCCCTTATACAGTGACTCTCCTGCTGACATGCTCAACTTGCAGGCAGGATGGAGTACAGCTCTGCTTCCCTTTTTGGGCAGCTAGTTTTGCACAAGTCACTTTTGCGTTCCAGGATAATTTAAAGTAATGTTTACTAGAAATGTGGCTTGTCCTTATGTTATCACTTCAACATACACACATGCTCATTCACACTTTTTAAAAAGAGTCCGAGAAAAATGGAATATAAGCAATCTGCTGCCTTGCTGCTATAATAATACATCAAAAAAAAAGAAAAGGAAAGGCCCAGCTGTTTAAATCCTGGAGTCTTCAGAGCCCTGGAGGAAGGATGGCAGCTCGTGGGAACCAAATGGTGTTGTCTCACATTAACCTGCTTCTTTCAAGCTCTTGGTTAGTGAGCCTGGCATATACAGTTTTTGTGGATTCACTGAAGAACAGCAAGGGTGACAACTCCCTCAATGATGTGTGCATTATAGCATAATGAGCGTTTACAGGGTTTTCCTTTACCTTTTGGTGGGGCATTCCAGGTTTGCCTGTCGCATGGTGCCTTTTTGAAAATCACCCCATTTTTTTGGCAGTGACATTGCAGCACAGGGTTTCAGAATGGTTAAGATCGGTAAGGCCCTATGAAGATCATCCAGCCCTACCACCTAGTGTCTTTCCTTTCAAAGCACAATGCATGTGCTCTAAAAGTACAGAAAAAGGGGACTGCAAAGCAATTATAATTCCAGCGTACTTCTCTGCTCACCCCCTGTTTCCAGTGTGGTAATGTGAGGAATGGTCTGCTCATTTTCTGTAGTCCAATTCATTGCTAGTATGGTCAGCAACCAAATGCCTTTACCATTTATTACTCTGTTCACACTCTTCTCCCATCCATTCTATATTTTCATTGATGCAGTATTTCAAAGTATTTTTGTTTCTTTACCAACACAGGCTTTGAAAACCAAGGATAATTTTATTTAGGTTGGCACAGTGAGAGGCACCTGTTGAAAGCTAAGTCTAACCACACCTTGTAAATATAAAATACATTAAAAAAAACTAGTAAGACCTTGCAAAATGAGAAAATTTTAAATGCATATGTATTAAATGTGCATGTGTTAGATTTACCTGAAGTAGAAATGGTATAAATATATACTTCAGTCATAAATGTATATACAGATCCTAGTAGAATTCACTGGCAGTGCTGTATATTATATTAGATATTTGAGAAATCTTTTCTTTCTAGCTTCTTATCCCCTTCCTAGCTTCTTATTGCTTTATGTTTGCAATGTATCAAAAGTTAAAATGTGAACTGATCCTGGATGGAAATGTACCCATCTTGAGACTTAAGCTGGTGTCTGTTTGACAAGGAAGTTGCACATTTTGTGGGGAAAGAAAGAAACGTTTTTGTTTTTCTTTCTTCACTCCTGTCAGTTCTTACATAGATTGAATCTCTAGCTCCAGGCCACCTTTAGAAGAAACATTAAATAAACCTCAAGTAAGGTAGATTTATGGGCAAATTTCAAGTGTGAATGGTATAAGACTGATGATAAATCTAATTTATTGCATGCATCTGCAGTTTTACTCTGTGGTTATTACTATTTTATTTTCCAAGTGCAAAGCTTATTTTCCATTGCCCACGGGAATCCATTTCTGTTGCTCTTCTGACACGTGCAAATAAGCGGACTGATCTGCTGAGAGAGCTTTGCACTAAACAAAATTGGATAATCAGATATGACTGCAATGTGTTTTTATAGGGTATTGTTGAAAGTGGAAGCTATAAACTATTTACCCTTTCTGTGGAAGTCTGTGACTATCTGATGGAAAAACGTAAGTGCTTCAACAGAGTCCTACTTAATGAAGGCAAGATACACAAGACCTGCAAACAGCCAGTTGTCCTTGTTTTCCCGCATCTCCTAAGGGGAGAGAGAATTTAAATTGCTCATAAAGTTTTACTGTCTGTAGCTGTTGTCTCTATGGCAGCTGCAGGAAGCTCTCTAACACAGCT